AACGACACCCCTCACGAGGATTCTGGCCGGGGGAGGCAGAAAAGTGCTCCCCTCTTCTTTGAAGCCGAAATCATTGCTTTTACTACGGTTTTGGCCCCATTTTGGCCTTCTGAGGGGGCAGCGCTAATTAAAGCTCCCCTCTTCTTTCAAGCCAAAATCATTGATTTTACTAAGGTTTTGGCCCCATTTTGGCCTTCTGAGGGGGCAGCGCTAATTAAAGCTCCCCTCTTCTTTGATCGATTTCCTCCAAGATGGCCCCAAGAAGCGCCCAGGAGGCACCAAGAGGCCCCAAGATGGCCCCAAGAGGCCCCCAGGAGGCCCCCAAGAGGATCCCAAACGGCCCAAAGAGGCCCCCCCGAGGCACCCAAGACGCCGAAAAGCCCATCAGGACGACCCTCTACTCGCCTGGGCGTCGTTTCTGGACGGGCAGGAGGAGGGGCCCGAACGACTCACACCAGGACGAGGGGCCCGAACAACTCACACCACGAGAAGCCCGAACGACTCACACCAGGACGAAGAGCCCGAACGACTCACACCACGAAGAGCCCGAACGACTCACACCAGGAAGATGGGCCCGAACGACTCACACCAGGACGAGAAACCCCAAACGACTCAAACCACGAGGAGCGCTTTCTCTCCCTCCTCCTCCGCCTCGTCCTTCTCCCGCTCCCACCACAAGGAGGATGTACAAGGAGGCGGGAGGAAGGAGGAACAGGGGAGATATGCGGGGGCAGGCGGAAACACGCCTGAAAAACACGACTGTCGGCATGTTTCGCTAGAGTTGCTGTTTTGAGATGGGCTGGTGGGGATACGCGAAGCGTGAAGAATTTATTTTCCTCATCTTCCTCTTCCTTTCCCCTTCTGTTCTTCCTCCCTCATCATTCCTCTCTTCTCCCGTTGCCGCTCTTTCTCCCCCCTAATCCGACCCTTCTCATGTTGCTTTAGCCGGTGGTGGAAACGTTGTCGCTGCCGCCCTTCGCCGCTGCTTCTGCTGCTCCTGTATTCATCCCCTCATGTCTTCGTTTTCTCACCGTGATTATGCTTACCATGCTGATATTGCATATTATTATCTCCTCTTCCTCCTCCTCCTCCTCTCCTCCCTTTCCTCCTCCTGTTCCTCCTCCTCCCTTCCCTCCTCCTCCTCCTCCTCCTCCTCCTCCTCCTCCTCCTCCTCTTCCTCCTCCTCCTCCTCCTCCTCCTCGTCCTCCTGCTTATTGACTTTCGGCTGCTGCTCCTTATCCTTCCCCCTGCTCCTGTGCCCGTCCCCTCCAGCTCTGCCAGAGCATCGCCCTCCCTGCTCTCCTCCCGTTTTCACAGTCATCGTACCACATTCCCCGGAGGACGACCAACCCGCACAAACAGGGACTTTCGGAGGTGGCAGCGGACCTCCCAGAGCCCATGTATGTGCAATTCGCTCGTCGGCTCCCCCCCCGCGGCCTCCCCCATCACCACAAGAACCACCTGTCCGCACAAGAACCAGTCACAACACAAGGCCATCTGGGAAAACCCAGCAACAACACATAACTATCCGGAAAAACTAAGAGTGGCTGATATCGACGCATTACCATGATGTTCCAGAAGGGGGCCGTCATTCTGTGCCACCCCACGTTGCGGCCTTCTCCAGCCTCCCTCGCCTCCCACTCTGCGTGCGCGCCCCCCTCCCGTGATCCCGTGATCCTCTGGCGCAACAGTCCAGCTCCCGAAGGCCGCCGGGGGGTGGGCGAAGGGCGGTCCGTCTGGGAAGGAAAAAGAGGCCAGGCTAGGCCGGCCTCGGCGGGACTGGCCAACTCTGTGCAAACGATTGCCTGGAGGAGGGGCCCACCCCCTTTTCTTCAAATGCGCCAGAGGCTGACCTGCATCTTTGTTCGTGGGACTTTTAGGGCATTCCACGAGGAGGGGCACAACACGCGAGGTGCCGAAGGCCCCGCACTGCCTGCACCACGCGATGCCGCCAACTCCTACCAACAACCTGTGAGCGTTGTGGGCGCGCCTGGCCAACCTGGGGACTGCGCTGCATGGTGCGAAGCACAGTCCTGGCCGAGAGGCATTCTTAGCTCCGCAGATGGCACAACAAAACCGATGGTTGTCCTTCCAATACCTGCGGACACCCTGTCCGTTGGGATTGGCAACCAGCTGGATGGACGGCTTCAGCCTCTTGGGGGCCTCAACCTTCTCCGCGTCAGGACAATCCCCTTCCCAGTGAGCAGACAGAACAGACGACTGCAGCTGTCCTAGCAGGCGTGCCTGCTCACTGCAGGAAGCATAACGATCTCTGACACGAGGGTTGTGGGGGTGGCAGCGGGCACCCAGCGCGGCTAACCTGGCAGCCTCCTGGCTCCCCATCCAAGCCCAGACCTGGTGCCCCCCTGCAGAAGGGCCTGGTGGAGAGAGAGAGAGAGAGGTGGGACTTGATTTTGACGAGCAAGATATTCGAACGGCCTCTGCCCTCGCCTTTCTTGAAGATGAGCTCCCACAGCTCGCTGAAGGCCAGGCGCTGCCAGGGCTGGTCGGGCCCCTGCTGCCGACCACCACTCGACATCCTGCCGTCGGTCACGATCACGACTTTTCCCGAGCCTGCCAGCTGGAGGGCCATCAGTAGGGCACATACTTCACCACAGCTCGACTGCCGCACCGGGCGGGGGAGGGGCCCGTGGCACGTGTCCTCTGCCAGAGCCGACCACGGCCCCTCCCGCACGGGCGCAGGCGAGGTCGGGATCGATCGCCGAGCCGTCTATGCAGATGCGCCTGTGAAAGCAACACCGTCCGGCGGTCGTCGTTTTCCCACTCGACGCCGGGGGACCGCACTGCGAGGGGCCGTCCTGCTTCCGGTGAGCGGGTCAAGCACCTGCCGAAGAGAAGTGGGTCAACACCTGCTGCGTTGGCTCGTCCAGCCAACCTGTCAAGATCTAAGAGCTGGCGCACGCCATGAGTCCCTGGGCTGCGGAAGAAGCGGTGCGACGGGGTACCTTCCTCCTCCTTGCACCGCTCACACTTCGGATCGATGACACGCCTGTCCAGATACAAAGTGTGTTGGGCGGGACAGCCTCCTGCGACTGGGCTTGCCAGCAGGCGGGCCTTCTGCTCCCAAGATGGCCCCAGAGGCCCGCAAGAGCGCCCCACGACGGCACGAGAGCCCCAAGACGGTCCAAGAAGGCCCTAAAGCGGCCTAAGGAGCGCCCAAGATCGCCCAAGAGGGCTTCAACACGGCCCCAAGAGGGGAACACGAACCACCAAATCGAGCCTCCCGCCCCAAGATGCCCCCTGGAGATCCCAGGGGGCCCCCAAGAGAGCCCAAGAGGCCCCTTGAGGCCCCACGAGGCTCAAGAGCGAGGAGCGACAAAGATGAGCCGTATTTGAACGCTACGCGACGGGCTTTCCCCCTTCCGCAGCGATGCGCACAGAGCGAGACTACGACGACGATCGTGACAACAACTGCAAAGACAACGACGACGACGGCAAAGACGACGATGACGACGACGACGACGACGACCGCGACGACGGCAGCCCCGAGATGGGAGGCAACGTGCATGGAAAGGGAGCTGAGGACATGCGGAAGGCAGCGCGGACTTCCGACAGTTCAATGTTGACGCAATGCTACTTCTTCGAGGGGTGTGAGAGGGGATCGAGGCGGGGATGGCTTGGAGGGGGCGGACGGATGTGAAGCGAAGATGCACGGGCGCAGGGGAGGGAGGGGAGGGAGATCCTCATTCCAACAATCATCCTCCTCGCTCCTCCTCCTTCCTCATACCATATCCACTCCACATCCATCCGCATCCTCCTTCTCCCTTCGTATCCCCGTCCTCCTCCTTTTCATCGCTGCCTCATCTTCTTCATAACTCGGCGCACAGACCCGGCCTGAAACATCATGTACGTGAGCACCTCAGGCTGCCGCGAAAAAGGCCCGTCGTGGCTCTCAAAGAGAGAACGGCGGGAGAGTGAGAGAGAGAGAGAGACAGAGAGCGGCAAGGGGATGGGGACGCAGGGCGAAGTGGGGGAAGGGGATGGGGGCGAGAGAAGGGAGAGGGATGAGAGGAAGGAGAAGCGAGAGAGAGGGGTGGGGATGAGGGGATAAGAAGGGGATTGCATGGAGTAATGGAATGGACAGCTAGGGTATCGGAGTGAGGGGAGTGGAAGGGGAAACACGAGAGGATGGGATAGGAGAGCAGAAGAGGAGGGTAATTAAGGATGGCCCTCCCTCTCCTCCTCCTCCTTCCCCCCTCCTCCTCCCCCCCTCCTCCTCTGCCGCTGTCCCTCCCTCTGCTCATCCTGCTCAGCCTCCCGCTCGCCTTCCTCCTCCTCCTCCTCCTCCTCCTCCTCCTCCTCCTACCCCTCCCGTTCCCGCTTACCCACCCCCATCCTCCTCCCCCTCCACATGCTCCTCATCCGTCCTCCCTTCTCTTTCCTGAAAACAAGCGCCCTTTTCGGGCAGCTATCCGCCTCTCTGCCTGCGCAGAGAAGGCGTGTTAGAAAGCGTGTCTGTTGAAGGCTCTATACTTTCGAAGACCAACCCCGCCCCTACCTGCCATCACCTGTTGAAAACCGCCCGCTCCCTCTCCGGAGTCTGTGCTGGACAGTCTCCCACATCAACTTACAGATGCAAACATAAAGGGCCGAACACAAGCACCCCGAGAGGAGGTCATACCAACAACAAACAAAAACGCTTCGAAGGTTGTCAACACAGGCCCACGAGGGCTGCAATATGGCCCAAGATGGCCTCAACACGGCACAAGAAGTTTCCAAGACGGCTCCAAGAGGACGTCCAATAGACCCTCGAGACAAAACACCTGAATGTTCCTTCACTTGTTGAAGGATTGTAGCGAACGCCCAAGACAGCCCAACATGCTCTTCAGAAGGGTCCAATACAGCCCACGAGGGCCCCCAAGGCAGCCCAGGAGGCCCCAAGACGGCCTGAGGGGCTCCTAAGACGGCACCAGAGGGCCCCAAGACAGCTTAAGAGGCCCACGAGACAGCTGCAATGTGGGGCCCACGAGAGGGAGCTCGAGCTGGCCTCGAATGATTTTCCCTACAAGATTGCCTCCAAGACACCCAGCGTGCCCCCGAAAGGCCCCCCGTTGCACCCTAAGACGTCACCGGGGTGCCCTGAGCGGGTCTGCTAGAAGTCCCGGAGAGGCCTCCAAGAGTCCCCAAACAGACTCCCAAAAACCCCCCAAAGCCCCAGAGGGGCAGCTGTTCAAACTCCTTCTTGCTAAACTGTTGCACAGGCACGGTTGCGGGATTTGCCGCAGGCAGCTGGAGATGTCTCCACGTGCTACATCTGCTCACAAGCTTTCAGACAAAGTCGTGGCCGCTCCCCCCATGCTTTCCTCTTCTCCCACTGTCTCCTCTTCTCACTCCCCTTCTTCTGCCCATAACTCCGCACTGTCGTGGAGAAAACTACTCTGGATGGGACAATAATCGCCCCCCCCCGAATCCGCTGAGGGGGGGGGTTGGGCACGTGTTGTCGGCACGGGTGGAGGGGGGGTTGGAGGAGGAGGAGGAGGAGGAGGAGGAGGAGGAGGTGGAGCAGGAGGAGGAGGAGAATGGAGGGGGCGGGATTGGGCAAGCTGCGTCGGAAGGTTAAGCACCCCCCCTTGATAAAACCCCATCCAGAGTATGTGGCGCCATCCATCGGACCCATCTACTCCGACCCCTCTCGGGCGGCTGGAGCTCAAGATTCCGATCCCGCCTCCTCCCCAGACATCCGATGCCTCGACTCTTGCGCCTCGGGCCTCAAGGCAGTCCCAACCCTCTCCCAAAGGCAACGTCGTGGCTACAAACAGTATGGAATCTCTAGCAGCAGACGGCGTTTAAACGTACACTCCAACCGTGCCGCGATTGTATTGCTCAGCAGGGCATCTTGAAAAACATTGCACTCTATCATGTGCCAGGTGCGCCGACTACCCCAAGGCCAGCCTTTCAGCCTGAGCCGCTCTTACACTGCCCCAAGTTTAGCGGGAACGGGTTTAGCGGGACCCTGTTTAGAGATGTGCCCTCCCGCCCCATTCGATCCGAACCTGCCGTTGCCCGACGAAACATCAACTTCGGCAGACTTGGTTGAATGATTATTGTTACTTGAATGGGCTTCGAATCCCATTTACTAACAGGCTCCCCTTAAGCGGGATCCTGGCTATATCCGACGATGGCACAGGAACCAGCCCCCACGAGCCGAACACTACGAACAAAAACCCGCATGGATTCATGTCCAGGAGAGCCCAGAATCCAATCGATAAATCGGATCGACAATCGACATGAATCGGATCGGCGGAAATCGGCAGCCGAATCGGGAAAAGTCGAATCGGCGGAAATCGGCAGGCTAGTATGCCGCCAATAAGAAATCGGAAGCCAAATCGGAAGCCCAAGTCGAATCGAATCGGAATCGGAATCCATCGAAGTCGAATCGAATCGAATCGGAGGAATCGAAACGAGCCCTGCATGTCTGGGTCCTCCTCCTCTGCGGCCGAGGCCGCGGCCATGCTCGTGGCGGAGTCCTCCGCGGACGAGCCCTGCACAGAGGCGGGGGGAGGGGGAGGCCCTGTAGCGACGGCCCGCGGGAGCCAGCCACCCCGAGAGGGAGGAGGAGGAGGAGGAGGAGGAGGAGGAGGAGGAGGAGGAGGAGGAGGAGGAGGAGGAGAAGGACAAGGAGGAGGGCCCTTCCCGTCTTTGTAGATTTTGATTCTGATGCAGTAGCTCGATCGCCCCCCAGTGAAGACCGCCCCTGGGGGTGGGGAGATGGCAGCGTTGATTACCAGCCCTCATGTCAAAGGCGTCAACACCCGGGGGGAGGAGAACAGATGGCAAAAGGGTAAAAGGAGAAGCCGGGTGCGCTCGCGCCACTGACAACCCTAGCCACCGCAAAGTCGTGGAAACACGAATTGAAACGCTGGCCTCCAACACACCGTGTGGATCGTTCAATCATGAACCATCGCGGCCTCCCGACAGCGCGGATCGGTCGATGTCGGCCGATGTCGGACCACGGGCGGCGTCCAAGCTTGAACGCGTGCGAACTGGCCACACCTCATCCCGCCCATCACTTCCCACTGTGCTGAAGTCTGTTCTACAGTGGAGGCCAGTTCATACAAAATCTTCCACGAGAAACCTTCCACAAGAAACCCGACCCTGAGACCCCAGGACGTCGATGGATTGTTCGTGTGGGAGCGCCGCGCTTCCCACAGAAAAACCATCGAAACCAGAGAAACCCAGGGCGCCCTGCCGGCAAGCAAGGTGCTTCTTGGCATGGGTCTCCACTGCACCCGCCGGCCAGGGTGTCCCAGAGGGTCTCGACCCCCCAGCGGCAGAGTGCCAGGGTTGGCCCCTCGACTGCCACGCGATCGGGAAGGGGGACCGTGGACACTGGAAGAGAAAGAAGGAGGGATGAGGAGCAGAAGGGGGAGTAGGAGGATCGGGGGCACAGTAGGGGCTCGACCACAAGAAACCTTCCACAAGAAACCCGACCGTGAGACCCCAGGACGTCGATGGTTTTGTTTTTTTCTGTCTGGAAAACTTCTCAGAAGGCCGGGGACTTCCGAGACTTCTGAGAAGACCCGCCCCATCGCACTTCGCTCCCTTGCTCGCCGCCGATATTGGCCAAGGATATCACTGCCGCCCTCAACGGACAAGGCCCCCCCCCAAGGTCCGAAGCGCCCCGCGCGAGGCGAGGCGCTGCGAGCGCCGATGCCCCTCCGCGCGCCATCGGAACGCCTCCTAAGGAAGGCGGCGGCGGGGCGGTACAATGCAGGCCAATCCACAAGAAACCTTCCACAAGAACCCCGACCCTGAGACCCCAGGACGTCAGTGGATCTTTGGTGTGGGGAAGTCGCACTTTCCATCGCAAAACCCTCGAATTCCAAGAAACCAAGGGCACCCTGGGGGCAAGCAGGGTGTGTCTTGACATGGGTCTCCACTGTAGCCCCTCAGAGCGTGTCGGTCCAGCTCCTCCTGGGTCCATGCGGTCTTCTCTCAGCCCCTGGACAGATTTCTGGATCCCAGAGGTAAGTTTTGCAACTCAACTTGTCTGGGTTGTCGTTGATTCGGGAGCGGCCAAGAGGGGGGCGTCCAAGAGAGGGGGGTGCAAAGCATGGCCGGCGGCATGTGCGCGGCCCAGGGGGGGGGCAGGGAAGTAATGAAAGATGAAGAGGCGCCATTAAATCTTGGGAAATATCATGGCCCAAGCCATGATATCCACCCCCCTAGTCATCACCCACCTCTTTGCCGCCCCCGATTGATCACCTCTTGTGCCCATTCTTCTTTACTTCTTGTCTGAAGCCCCCTGGGCGCATCCCTTCACCAACGCCCCCACCGCACCGATGCCGCCACTTCCCAGGACCTCTCTCGGGGGTTGACCCTGAGACCGGGACTCCGAGGTCCGTGGCGTCGAGGTTACACTCCAGGAAACCCAGAACGCGAACACCATGGAAGGGGCAGAAATATGGGTATGTGTTCCTCCTCCTCCTTCCTCCTCCTCCTTCTCTTCCTCTTCTTCCTCCTCCTCCTCATTCCTCCTCATTCCTCCTCCTTCCTCCTCCTCCTCCTCCTCCCTTGAAGAGTTCGTCGGGCAACCAAAAAATCCTCCTCCGAATTAGATGACCGTTCTGCAAGCATTCCTGAAGCCACTTGCTCTCACTCATGCGTCGATGCCGCGAGCGTCCGTCGACTTGGTGCCGAACTTGAGTCGAGCTAAGGTCGAACGAACTAGCGTCGAACCGATCCGGTAGGCGGGCCCAAGGAAGGTCCCCCCAAAAGAACATCTAATCTTCAGTCGGGCCTGTCCCCCTACAGGGGGATTTTCAGCGAAACAAAAATCCCCCAAATACCCCCTAATGGTAAAAAATGCTCGAAACGTAGTCCAGACAATTTTTAGACTATTGTTTGACCATTTTTGGGGTACTTTATATTTTTCGTCGGAAATCCCCCTGCAGGGGGAACACGCCCAACTTTAACTCTAATCTGACTGTCCCTGCTCCTGCGCCCTCCTCCTCGGTCCCGCTCCCAACACCGCCGACGGCCTCCTGTGGCCGCTCCCGCCTTCCCGGGAGTCAGGATCAATCATTATGTCGGGAGTGTCCCCCTAAAGGGGAATTTTCGAAGAAAACTAGAACACACACCAAAAATGCCCAACAAAAGGCCAACAAACAATCAAAAAATAGTCCCCGGACTATTTTTGGGTAATTGTTGGACTATTGGTGGGGTATTTTTTATTTTTCGTCGAAAATCCCCCTGCAGGGGGACAGGCCCGACTTCAACCGAAGCGGGCAGCATCGGCATGGCGTCGGGGTCGAACCGGATCGGCCGCGCCATGATGCACAACGAGGCCGTGCGAACACTGGATCCCCATCGGACCGTCGAACTATCGAGAAGCCGATCGGATCGAGCCGGCCGAAACCGATATCGGTACCACCTGCAGCGGCCGCCCTCTCCAGACCTGCCTGTCAGGTCATTAAACTAGAGGAAAAAGAACTATGCACATACACCGATTCTGGCCAGACCCATCCTGAGCCCAGGATCGGTGCATATGCCCTCCTACCTTGGCCAGGAAGGCATATGCACCGATCCTGGGTCAAGGATGGACGTTGTCAGGATCTCAGGATCGGTGCATGTGCATATTTCTCTTCGCCCGATAAACTCGGGTCTCTGGCGGCCGTTCGGAACGATCCGGGCACCTCTGGAACGCCCTCGGCGAGGCGCAGCTGCTGGCACGAATCCCAAAACACCAGACAGCTCGCCCCTTGAACCCCCCCGCCAGCCCCACGCCAGTGGGCGCGCAGATACACGGGCACAGCACCGCGCTGCATGCGTAGCCTTCGGCTGGGCCAGGCAGTTCAAGACCCAACACTGCACCGCGTGGCGCGTGGATGCCCGCACCGACCACGACTCCTCTCAGGCCCGACCTCCGACCCCTCCTTTCGCAACCTCCTCTTCGTCCTCGTCCTCCGTTCTCCCTCTCACCCATCCCCCCCGTCGTCCAACTCCTCCGGCTCCTCCTTCCCGCCGCCTCCTCCCTCTC